TGATGTAGCTGCCCTGAACGAAACGACGTCACTCACATGGCTTTCCAGCCAACAGCTCCACCAGGGCATCCAACTACCCAGCAGCCTGCAGAGTTTGACGTTTGGCTGGCGTTTCAACCAGAGCTTGGAGGACATCCAACTACCCAGCAGCCTGCAGAGTTTGACGTTTGGCGACGAGTTCAACCAGAGCTTGGAGGGCATCCAACTACCCAGCAGTCTGCAGAGTTTGACGTTTGGCGACGAGTTCAACCAGAGCTTGGAGGGCATCCAACTGCCCAGCAGTCTGCAGAGTTTGACATTTGGCGATGGGTTCATCCAGAGCATGGAGGGCATCCAACTACCCAGCAGTCTGCAGAGTTTGACGTTTGGCCGATACTTCAACCAGAGCATGGAGGGCATCCAACTACCCAGCAGTCCGCAGAGTTTGACGTTTGGTGACCACTTCAACCAGAGCTTGGAGGGCATCCAACTACCCAGCAGCCTGCAGAGTTTGACGTTTGGCCGATACTTCAACCAGAGCCTGGAGGGCATCCAACTACCCAGCAGCCTGCAGAGTTTGACGTTTGGGCAGGAGTTCAACCACAGGCTGGATGGCATCCAACTACCCAGCAGTCTGCAGAGTTTGACGTTTGGCGTGTGTTTCGACCAGAGCTTGGAGGGCATCCAACTACCCAGCAGTCTGCAGAGTTTGACGTTTGGCCGATACTTCAACCAGAGCCTGGAGGGCATCCAACTACCCAGCAGTCTGCAGAGTTTGACGTTTGGGCAGGACTTCAACCAGAGGCTGGATGGCATCCAACTACCCAGCAGTCTGCAGAGTTTGACGTTTGCCGGGCGTTTCAACCAGAGGTTGGATGGCATCCAACTACCCAGCAGTCTGCAGAGTTTGACGTTTGCCGGGCGTTTCAAGCAGAGGCTGGATGGCATCCAACTACCCAGCAGTCTGCAGAGTTTGACGTTTGGCGACGAGTTCAACCAGAGCATGGAGGGCATCCAACTACCCAGCAGTCTGCAGAGTTTGACATTTGGCGATGGGTTCAACCAGAGCATGGAGGGCATCCAACTACCCAGCAGTCTGCAGAGTTTGACGTTTGGCGTGTGTTTCAACCAGAGGTTTGATGGCATCCAACTACCCAGCAGTCTGCAGAGTTTGATGTTTGGGCAGGACTTCAACCAGAGGCTGGATGGCATCCAACTACCCAGCAGCCTGCAGAGTTTGACGTTTGGCGACGAGTTCAACCAGAGCTTGGAGGGCATCCAACTACCCAGCAGTCTGCAGAGTTTGACGTTTGGCGACGAGTTCAACCAGAGCATGGAGGGCATCCAACTACCCAGCAGTCTGCAGAGTTTGACATTTGGCGATGGGTTCAACCAGAGCATGGAGGGCATCCAACTACCCAGCAGTCTGCAGAGTTTGACGTTTGGCCGATTCTTCAACCAGAGCTTGGAGGGCATCCAACTACCCAGCAGCCTGCAGAGTTTGACGTTTGGCCAATACTTCAACCAGAGCCTGGAGGGCATCCAACTACCCAGCAGCCTGCAGACTTTGACGCTTGGCGACGGCATCCAGGTAGCCAGCAGTCTGCAGAGTTTGACGTTTGGTGACCACTTCAACCAGAGCTTTGAGGGCATCCAACTACCCGGCAGTCTGCGAAGTTTCACTTCACGGCATTTTTGTGTAGAGACGTGGTGAGCAGTGATGTGCTGGCTTGGCTTCCTCTTCAGGCTCTTCTGGAAAATCCTTTCAACGAGATTTCTGTCAATAACTACAAAGACCTATTCGAGCCATGTAATTTAAATAACCACTAAGGTCATTTGCAAACCCCTTGAGTCAATAACAATAAAATGTTGGTTTGATTAATAATGCTTCCACTACCGTAAACCTAACCGCAAACTGGCCCGAAATCCTACGTACGACTATACAAACCCTAAGTTCCTGACTCTACATATAAACCTTCAACCCTAAACCTAACCTGAAACTGACCCGAAATTCTGCATCAATTCTGTCACTCACCCTTCTGCACGAAGCTGCCCGAAGTCCTGGCAGAGCCAGGCGAGTCGGCGATCATGGCCGAGAAGCTTTTGAGCCAGGTCGGGTTTGGGGTTTAGGGTTTGGGGGGTTGGGTTTGGGGTTCAGGGTTTAGGGTTTGGGGTTTTTGGGTTTAGGGTTTGGGGTTCAGGGTTTGGGGTTCAGGGCTTAGGGCCCAGGGCTGAGTGAAGCTTTTGAGCCAGATCGGTCGAGTTTTGTAGGATTTAGGCTTGAGGCTTTAGGATTTTACACTTGACGAGGTTTAGGATTGAAGCTGCTGGGATTTGGGGTGTGGGTACAGGGTTTATTCCCTATCGTGGGTTACGGGTTGAAGGTCTAAGTTGCGTTGAAGGAGCAGTAAGTGGTTTGTTTGTAGGTGCCGGAGTACTAGCTCGCTCGAGCCTGTTCTTTGTCAGCTTTCTGGGGTCAGACGACATTTGCTGCAGTCTTGGTCCAGCGTCTGATGGTAAGTTCATTCGGTGCAGGTGTTTAGGTTGTGGGTCCCCCACTAAGCGTTGCAGAGCTGAGGATGTGCGCGCAGGGGCATTGCGTTCAGGGTTCAAGCGCCCTAGGGCTCCAGTTCCCTTAAATGGTAGGTCACTGGGGTACACAATAGATGCCCAGATCCCAATACCCCTTAGTTTACGAATATACCTTAAATCATAATATTGATTTAAGGTATATTCCTTAAAATTAAGGGGTATTGGGTTCTCTAGGTGGTTAGTAACCTACCGTTTAGGTAACTGGAGCCCTTAGGGCTGCACATCGAATTCAGGGTTTTGTGTTTTCCCTAAGGGTCCATGTACCCATATAGCATATACTTTGGGTCCAATGTACCTATATAGGGAGTACTTTAAGGCCAATGTATATACTATATGAGTACATGGACCCTTAGGGTTTTGGGCTCCAGTAGCGGAACCAGGGGTAACTTCAGGCTTTCCAGGGCTGTTGTTGACAGTACACCATAAGCATTTACAGTATTTCTCAATCATCATCTCGTGTGCATGCGTGTCGCTTGCCCTGTGTCAGTGGGCTGCGTTTAGAAGCCGATATGATATCGTTACCGCCTCGCAGTGTTCACAAGTGCAGCGCGCATATGTATACAGATGTAAACTTTGTAGTCGAATGCATTTCAGAAAGCATCAGCTTAAGCTGAAACATAGCATGGTAAGTGCAATGCATACAACAATTGCAATAGTGATAAGGCTACTGACTGCAGTGACGAGGCTAACGAAGACGACGGCGACAAGAAGCAAGATAAGACAGACATGGCCAAAAGAAGCCTTGACTCTTCATCTCGGCGATGTCGACAGTGGTTGTCTTCCTTCCTTTCTTTCGGTTCTGTGGCAGAATTTGAGTCGTCGTGAGGTTATGCACACATCATTAGAGTTTTGGTGCTGCACTTTCAATCGCTCTTGTTCGTATATAGCCCGGAAAGCGCTGCGCCCCGAATCTTTTCATTCCGTTAAGGACAGCACGAGCCCTGAGGCTCCATGGACTTATACAGAATTTAGAGATGATTCCCCAAGGGTCCAAGTACCCTATACTCTCCAAATCGAAACCTACATAAGTACTATCCTAAGCTCAGTTATTGGGTCCTTTGGACCCTTGGGGATCAGGGTCCTTTGTAGGGTATGACTTGCGTCAGTTATAGCTTCAATCCTGACCCTTTGCAAACCCCGCGAATGAAAGGTCCGCTCAAGAATGACAGATCCTAAGCCAAACCTTTCACATGGAGCCCTAAACCCTATAAACCCTAAACCCTAAAGGTTGAATTGGTTGTGGATGGTGGGGTTTCCTCTTTTTGTAGAAGCTGCTCCTAAAATGGGCTCCCAAATTTCCAACCTGTACCCCCTAAACCCCAAAGCCACAGTCCTAAACCGCACACCCTTAGACTCCAAAAGTGACACAGAAGCTCTGAAATGGCAAAACCTATATGGGAGTTTCTGAAAATGAGCGATACCTTATTTTGCGGTCCTTATAAAAGGATCCTACTATTTAGGGTACTTTATTAGGGTCCCCTATTTTCGCAAACTCCCAAAGCACTACGAAGCACCAAGCTTTGAATGCCTCGACCCTTCAGCCGCAAACCCAGAGACTCCAAGATCCCTTAGTTAACTTTGAATTATAGTGGGGACTTTAATATGATTTAAGGAAGATATTTCTTGATTAAGGGATGTTGGAGTCTCCTCTTAAAGGAGCCCTTAAAGGAACCCTTACCTTAACCCCACGTAACCTACCATTTTAAGGACTTATATAAAGAAATCATATTCGGGAACCCTAAAAAGGTAGGTTCCGCAGGGTCCAGGTATAGATCCCTTAAAAGGGATCCTAGGAGTCACTGAGCCCCTCCCTGAGCCCCCTGCAGTTGGTTTTTCGCCTGGCGGGCCTCGCAGTGGCTTGCCGCAGGGCTCCGGCACCGCAGCGGGGACACCAAGCGGTTAGAGGGGTTCCGGTTTAGGGCTTTAGGGGTTTAGGGTGCAGGGTTTAGGGGTTTATAGGGTTTAGGGGTGTAGGGTTTAGGGTTCCGAACTATATAGTTACCATATGGGTCCATATATATTTATAATTTATACTACTATTGTGGAATCAGGCCCCCACAACCACAATAGGGATAGTCTTTTGAATTTGGGACCCAATTCCATAGTCGAAGTATATATGGACCCTCTGGGTCATAGTAAATATTATACCCCCCAAAACCCTATTCTAATTATTCAGGTCTCTCTGGGCTTCAAGTGCCCCTAGGACCCAGAGTAGGCCCTTATCCCCTTTTGTAGGGTTTAGGTTCCCTTATACCCCCCTTCAAACCAAAACAGGGCACCCTTTTTATTCCTAGGTTCCTCTTAGGTCTAGTTAGTCTCTTAAACTTTGTTTAGAAAGATACCCCTAAGGGTCCATGTACTCATATAGTATATACATTGGCCTTAAAGTACTCCCTATATAGGTACATTGGGCCCAAAGTATATGCTATATGGGTACATGGACCCTTAGGGTACCATTTGTCGTGTGGTATTTGGGAGAGTTTCTGATCTTCAAGCATTTGGACATCTTCGCTACGGTCTTTGTGATTCAGGCTTTTCTCGACTTGCGCAGGCTAGCTTCGGGCTTTTCGTGGTTTTGGTGTGCTGTGTTTAATCATTCTGACGTTGGGATACTTGTCCACCGTGTTGCTGCCACAACGGCCACCGCAACCACAATCACTGCCGTTACCAACCGCAGCAGAAATACCATTGAGAGTGGCATCGTTGGAAGCAACTCATCACTGAACAGCAGTAGCGACAGCAACAACAGCAAAAGCAAGCAGGTGAGCTCTCACTAGAAGACCGCAGCACCCGGCTCAGGCAGAATTACTGTACCAAAGCACACCACCTTCATCGCATGTCGCGGCTTCCCAACAAGTTGTCCTTAGTGACTTATTGCCTTCATGTGCTTGGGGGGAGGGTCAACATTCCAACTGCTCCTTAGAAGAACGCAGGCTCTGGCTCGGAACGTCTTTGGCCCTGTCGTTGGACACGGGCGCCGGCGTTGTGCCAAGCCGAGCAATCGCTACATGCGGGGGGGGGGGGTGGGTGGTTGCAGGTGGCGTGTGGAATGTACTAGAAGTGGCCTGGATTTGTAAAGTAGTCTAAGCACATCTTAGCTTAATCTTAACTACGCATGGCAGCCCAAGCATAAGGCATCCTACCAAGAGGGCCCACACATAATATAGTATAATAGACTACCAGTATAGGAAGTAATTAGGCTCCGAAACTCCGATAGGCATGGCTTTAGAGGGCCTGGCTCCATCATGCTCGTATATTCTCGCACATATACACACTCTTGGCTATGACCATACTTGAATCTTCCAGGTCGCGTGCAGGTGTGTGCGATCCCAAGTCTGCGCTATAGTTACAGCTTCGGGTTTAAATCCCAAAGACCCGATGCCCATTGCCCTTTGGCGAGAGACTCTTGTGTAAATGATAGATAGGCCCAAAGAGATCTTTCGTCAGAGTCAAGGTCTACTATAGGGGCCTAAAATAATTACCTATACTATGTTGAGGGTTTTGGATCGAGCCGCGAGGTATTGCTAGGACCCCAGTGGCGAAGCCACGACAAAGTTTGTGAGCCCGCGTAGCCCTACCTGGCATAGGAGGGCTCGACGTCGGCGACACATCGCCCGTGGCAGGGTCAGGACTGCCATTCAGGCTTCTGAGAAGCCCTGGCGGCGGGACCTGCATCTTCTGTCTACACATCATAGCCACCCGCGATATAAGGTGCCTATGGGGAAAAGAGGTAACCAGCAAGGATGGTGGAACGAACAGGGCCAAGGCCGTTCGGACGGAGAGCGCTGGCGATACTGGCGGGGCTCTTGGGGCTCTCCCTCGCATGCCCAGGCTCCGGCGGCACCGGATGTTGGCAGGTACGATCAAGTGCCGGTCAAGGGTGCTGGCAAGGGAAACAACAAGGGCAAGTCCGGGAAGTCGACAGATGCAGTGGCACTTACCCCTGCCAGCGAACAGCCAGCCTCCTTGATGGTTGCCATTCAGAAGGCCCTCACGACGTCCAGGAAAGCGGATGTTCGTATGCGCAAACTGCAGGAATCTCGGGAGACCAAAGAGCAGCAGTGGACGCAGTGGGCCGCCAAGGCAAAGGCGGAGTACTTGAAGCAGAAGACGGAGTACGAGAAGGACTTGCAGAAGATCACGGAGGAGATGGAGCAGGTCTCTGCAAGCGGCAAAGCCGCAACAGCCCGGATGTGGGAGCTGGCCCAGCACCGGGAAGCTGCCTTGGTTGTGATGGAGCCAGAGCCGGCGGAAGATGGAAGCTGGGAGAAGCTGATTGCGGAGGACAACGACGATGCTCCTGGTGGTTTCTACAAGGATGCCCTTGCAGCGACCCAGATGTTGGCAGGAACAGCACCGAACACTGCCTCCGCCGTTCAGATTCGACCGGAGATTCTGCAACAGCTCCTGGCCCTAGCTGGGCCTGCTATGGCGGCCGGGGCCGCTCCTGGGCGTCCGACAACGGAGACGCCGGCGGGTCCTCTTTTCACTATCCCAGACCCTGCGTATTCCGTGGCAGTGCCGGGCGCCACGAACACGGCACAGGCCTTTCCTCATGCTGCACCCGGAGCCGAGATGTTTGGAAGCCCGGGACCGATGCCTTCGGGGCCACCTGGGCCGGACCCGGCAGTGCCTGGAGGTACGAATGGAATGGATGGTTTCGAGGCCAGGACTACGGGTACCACCCCCTTACACCCAGGACAGCGGGATCCGTCACAGATGCGAGTGCCAACTTCGGAGGCCCCACCCAGAGCCGACATCAAATCGGCTTCGGTTGCGGCCTCCTTTTCAGCCGCCAACCCCGCTGGGCCCAGCTTGGCGAACAAACTGGATGCTCGCAGGGAGAAGGAACGCCGTTCAGCTCTGCAGCCTTTTGGTGGAGTCGGAGACGTGCCGTGCGACGCTCTGGCCAAAGCCCGATTCAAGGACGACGATCACGAGGACGGCCCAGGCGACGGTGTCAGTGGCCTAGATGGCCTGTCGTAGCACTCTTGCAGGATTCGACAGCTGTAGGCTTTTTCGGATGGGAGGTTTGCAGCCCAGTGCACCCGGACGATCTCTTTTCCCTTAGTGGGAAGAGGTTTATCCAGTTGTGCTTTGGGCAATGCACTCTTCCCCTTCGAGTCACCCGTCATGCTGTGCGAATCCTCGAGTATGGGGAGGTCCTCCCTTCTTGTACAGAGCCTCTGGGGTGGTTTCTCTGTACAGCATCCGAGTTGTTGTTTTGCACTGGCTTCGGTTGCTCATCTATCCTCGCTAGTCAGGTGTTTGCGGACTCTCCTTGGGTTTTGGAGCAGTCTCACAGTCACCTGATGGTCTCCTCTGTCAACTGTCATACCTGTATGGACAGGTGTGGTGGCTTGGCCTCGCCTCTTGTCCCTTCTTGGGATCCGCGTGTCTGCTTTAGGCCTGACCTGGCTTGTTGCAATGTGCCTTTGGGAGTCTTCGCTCATCAATTTTTTGCAGGAACCGGGGCGTACCGAAGAAACGCATCGGTGGTTCAGGGGCGTTCACCCCCGGCTTCTTGCCTCACTGCTTCTACTTCCGATTTCAGGGTTTGCGTTATCCCTGATTTTCTTTCCTCCAGTTGGTCGGGTTTAGTGTTCGGCGCGTACCGAAGAAGCGCATCGGTGGTTCAGGGGCGCTCACCGTCGGACACTGCCCTTTCCTCAGCTTATGTCGCTGCGCTGGCCTTTCTCAATTTGGTGGCCTTTGCGCGTGGGTTCTGTCTTCTCTTTTTCATGGAACTTGTGGGTCTGTTACTTCGACGGCGACGTTCGCCCGACAAGTGCTCTAGTGCAACTTTCCCCGCGCCGTCCATCCTGCGGGTTATGAGCTTTGCCAGACCGGCCTCTCCCGTTTTGGTTTGGACCTTGGCATCCATCGGCCGGAGGTCGCATAGAAAAAATGGTAGTTGCCGTAAGACGCCTCCTGGGCATCCTCTGCGTTGGCCGGCCTTCTCCCGGCTTGGTCGCCTTGTTGTGCTTTGGGGCTGGTGGTTCTCCATGCCGGTACCAGTTTGGGGCATGCCCCCGGAGGATGCTGGACTAGTAACTGAACTGCTGACTCACATGGGGTCGGCGGTTAGCCTGTCGGACACTGTGGTGACCCCCGATGACTTGGATGCACGGGACCTTCATTTGCTTGCAGAGGACATTGTTGGTCCCACAGTCGAGCTAGGGACTTTGCCTGATCAGGCCCTCCATGTTGCCGATACGGGACCTGAGGTTCACGCCCTAGTTTATATGCCTGACAGGATTCCTATCTCTTTGCTGGTCTGTAGACCTGCTGATGATAGTCCGGCTGCTTTCCTTGCGGGTGTTTGCAGACAGCTGGGAGACCTCTTTGATCCCCAGTTGTGGGAGGCACATTTCTTGGAACCACAGATTCATTCTGATTATGTCTCAGTGGTGTTGTCTCCTTGTTGGGTCAAACATTCTCGCCTGCAAGTTGCTGTACTTGACTTCGCAGCTCATGGCGGGCCTGTCTATGCTTGCTTCGTCGAGGCCAACCTGACTTATGAGGATGTCGACGAGCTCAGCAGCCTTTATGCCCATGAACCCTGGGAAGCTCGTGCCCCCGGGATCGTCGGGCCGGTTTGCCCGGGCCAGAGCTGTGTCCTGGGCTCAGGCCATGTGGTGCGTTACTCCCCTGTATCTGCCTTTAGGGAAGAATGCCTCCCCCTTGAGGCACACCTTAGAAGCCTCCCAAATGCCTTTCAAACTCGCTCTCCGGCTCCCACTGAAGAGCCCAATTGCTGGATGTGTCTTGGAGGACGGGATGCTATCCTGCTTCCCTCAGAGGACTCGGACTTGGAAAGCCTCAAAGTTCAGGTCGCAATTAGGCTGAAATGCAGAGTTGAGCGACTGCAGTTTAGCGTCTTGCAGGCACACTCCTTGCTACAGCAACTCCTTCATTCTGGGCGTTTGGTTAATGGAGTGCTCGCAGCTTCAACGTTTGATGCGAGGGGGCGTGCCTTCGCACCTACTCGCATCTCTGTCTTTGTGGATTGCAGGACAGTCGCCAAAGGTCTTCGCTGTGTCTGGGTAGCCCCAGGGCTTCGTGAGCCTGATGTGCTTTTTAGCATGCTTGACCTGCCCTTACCCAATGGCTTTCTCCCTTGCTGCTTGGAGGTTGAAGACACGGGACTGCTCCCGCTATTGCAGGATGGGGATTTGCTCACCGTGGTCTTTCGGCCTAGGCTAGCTTGGCCGACCGCACTTGCTTCGGCCATGGACTACTCAGCATCCTCGCATGCAGGATACCCTTTGATCCAGCCAAGCGTAGCGCCGGATACAGGGGATTACATCGACGGGGTTGATCCGGTCACCTTTGAAATTAGGAAGGTTCACCTTGTCGTATTTGTGCAAGACCGCTCCCCGGAAGTTGTTTCGGTCGAGTTGGATTTCCCCGCAGCTGTTACGGAGGCCATGGAGCAGATGTGCTATGCGTTAGACCATCACACCGTGCGCAGATATGGCCATATGCTTCCCGTGCAGCCGCAGCCTGCCTACACATATGCGAGCTTCGTTGCCCGTCCTCCCTGGGCAACCACTAAGGTTCAGATTTTGGTAGATGCGCGCGCCTGGGATGGGCGACTTTTCACTGTTGTCATAGATCGCTGGCTGCAATGGGGGTCCTTCATGCTTCAAGGCGGATTCATTGTCACCGGAGTTCCGCAAATTTATGTCCGGGACGCTCCAGTACCCACGGGACGTCCGTTGACTTTTGGGGATGGTGATTTGGTCACAGTTCTGCCGTCTCAGCATAATTTACCACCTCGTATGCCCTTAGACCGCATGCTGGCCCGTGCCTTCCTATGGGAGAGGGATGCTCCGATCTTCCCTGTCCCAGCCCGGCCGACTTTCTTTGTTCTGACAGATGGGATGCCAGTGCTCATTTCAGCAGACAGGCGGCGACTTAGGGACAGTGAGGACTTTAGGCGCATTGCGGCCTCGGAACTAGGCTATCAGGAATTTCGTACTACTTGTAAGCCCTGCTCACCGAGGCTAGTAGACTGCTATGTGCTGGGCCGCTCGTGTCGGTCCCTTGTGATCGCCACTGAATATGGTAGTTCCCTAAGGATCCCTCCCGGTCGCCCGCATCCTGGATCTACCTTTGTTTTCTTTGACCTACGCCCTATTCTTAGGGGCTTTTCATGGCGACGGTTCGACACCTCAAGGATACCCCTGTCCGCTTTGGAAGCCGAGTTCAGGGCTTTCCTGCCTGAAGAGCATGAGGTTTGCATTCATGGAGGTGTTCCAATCGCCCATGCTGGGACGACCTATCTCGATGTCGTTTCTCGTTCGGTTCTGACCGTCGAATTTGTGCCCAGCACTTTTACGGAGCCCTCTTCATCAAGCTCCTCGGAGGACTCCTCCCAAGAGCATGGCTCTTCTCATGATTCGCCCTCCCCACCTGGCGACAGGCCGGACTCGCGAAGTCGTACACCTAGGTGCAGACGTAATCGCCGCCGTGTGGGGTTGTCGTTTTCTTCTAGTATAAGGCTCGCTGCTGTTATAGGTCTAGCGGAGCTTCCTAGGTCAGTTGCTGCCACTACGGTTGGTGAGCCCACTGTTCCCCTTGTGGGCGGGCTCTTTGCCATTCGCTATGGTCTTTCGGCCTTTGTTGCTGCAGGGGTTGGCCTGGCCTGTAAGTTGTTGGTGGAGCCTACCTCGTCTGGCCCCGCTGCCAGGCTTGCACTTGCCACCCTTAGGCATCTCGCTGCAGGCATGGGCGAACACTGGCGTTATGCCCCTGCTGAGGATGCTGTCTACCTTAGTGAGGACACGTTGTCTGAGGCCGATAGCGCCGAGCAGAGTGCACCATGCCAGGTCAGTTTTGGCGTGCTAGTTGTGGACTGCGCCCCGGAGGAGGTCTCGCTGGAACTGTACTTGCCCGCCACGGTTGATGAGACGATGAGAGCTTTGCAAGCCGCCCGCACAGCTGCACGTCGTCAGGACTTCCCCAGTCTCCTAATTGTGGATCCGCAACCCTGTCCGGGGACCGGAGTGGTTATTGCCCATGTTCCATGGCAAGAGCAGAGTGTGTATATCTGTCTCAATCTTCTGCCCTTCGACCGCAGGCTCTTTACTGTTAAGTCCCCTGCATATGTTACCAAGCAGGAGCTCCTTGTGCTTGCGGATGTGCTTCCAGGCCTAGGCCTAGACGTTTACGTGGGCAGGGATGCAGACCCTTTGCAGGAGGGTTCAGCTGTACACGTACATAGTGGCCTCTTGATTACTTTTGTGCCGCCAGATGAAGGGATCGAGCATCTCTTTTCACTGGGTCAACTCCTTACGTCCAGGTTCTCCTGGGGACAACCCGCTGCCTTGCCACGAGGAGGATCTTCGGATGCGTACTGTCTGGTACATTACGCCGAGACTATTCTCTTTATCTCCGACCCTCGCCAGCCTATGTCATACAGGCGACAGGTTGCTACTTGCGTTGGTGTCCGTGAGCCGGAACTCCGGCTCTTTCCTACTGCTCCACGAGTAGGGGACGCAGCACTTGATGGTCTTTGCTGTAGAGCTGTTCTGGCTGTCTGTACGGCAGCGGATTTGCGCACAGACCGGTGTTGTGTCGTGGTTCTAGACCAAAGAGCGGTGATGGCAGGATGGCGGTCTGTGCTGGCATTTCGGGGCCATTTGCTATGTCGGGCACTACTTACCGAGCTCATTGATCTCTTACCCCCCGGGTGGGTTCCAGTTCTCGAGGGAGTGCCTCATGATCAGACTTTCCTGCCTGTCACTGCGGGACAGGTTTTGCGAGTCTTGGCTTCCATCATGCCTGCGTCAGCCGCATCCGCCCCGCCTACTCTTCCAAGGGAGGAAGTCGCTTTGGATGACACCCGGGATATGCTTGCTTTTGTTATGGCCTCCAGAGTCCATAGCCCTGGTGCAGGGGATACCCCTGAGGCCCAACAGCACAGCTCTGATCAGCCCAGTGTCGCTGCTGGGCCGACATCTTCTTTGACTGATGTGGCTTCCAGCCCCACCTTGTCTGGCGCGGCTGTTGGTGGCAGCTCTAGCCGAGGTCCTCGTGCTGAGGGACATGTAAGTACCCCTCTGAATGCGGTCTCTGAGGCTTCCTTTTTCTCGGCTACTTTTGTGGTCTTAGTCCCTCACTATGACCATGAGTTGGTGGTGGTGCGGCTTCCTGTTGGCACCAATCTCCATCGTGCCCTGATTAGGGTCTCGGCAGCCCGGCTTCCCTTGTCACGCTTGAGGTTCCCAAGATTGCTGCCTGCCAGGTTTCAGACCGTGCCCGGCCTTGCGGTTTTGGTTGCAGCCCCTACATGGCAGACTCATAATGTCTGTGTTGTGGTTGATAGCAGCAGTGTTAACGGCCGCCTTTTCGCCATTGACGTAGTCACGCGAATTTCTGTTGCTGACTTGTGCAGGTTAGCCTCTATTGAGGAGCCTAGTCAGGTCATTGTTTTTGTTGGCAGCCTGCCTTGGCCCCTTGATCTTCGGAGTTTCGCTGAGCTGACTGAGGGTGACACGGTGCACATACTTCCGAGGCAGCATCCGCCCTCCGCAGTTGTGACGCTGGTTGATCTCCTGCAAGATCCTGCCAGCTGGTCTGAATCGCCTCTTCTTCCTAGTGTTGTTGATGATGCAGTTTGGGTCATGCCTGACGGCCAGCACTTCTTATATCCTGTCCCACCAGGTAGGCGGGATTTCCTTAGGAGGGATCTTGCTGCTGTCTTGCACTTGCCCTCTGCTCGCCTAAACTTCTGTATCGCGAGGACTGGGTTTGGGGACCATGCACATGCGGGTTGCCCCACTCGCAGCGTTATCGCGGTTGGGCGAGTTCCGCCTGGTACTTCGGAGGGCCGCCCTCCACTCGTCTGTTTTTTAGACATGCGCCCCATTCTTTTGGGGGTGTCATGGGTGTCTGCAGACGGCCCTTGGGTGCGCATTGCTCCCCTTATTGCAAGATTCAGGGCCCGGTGCCCACCTGGATATCAGGTTGCCTTGTCGGTTGATGGAGGCGAGCCCATTCTTACTGAGGCTGATCTGCCGGCGATTGATGGTCAGGTCGTCGCTGTGGATTTTGTGCCCATTAATGTTAGGGCGACTGATTGGGTGCTTCTCTACGCAGAGATTGGGGAGCGTCCCATGGGTGGCGCACAGGATGGCACACCCGCCGCCGACCGTGCGTCTGGCTCTTCTGCGGACGCGGGCACAGGAGGTTCCACGTCCTCCTGGTCAGCTGCGCTGGCTCAGTTCTCGAGAATAGACCACGCTTCTGCCCCTGTTTCGCTGTTGAGCCTCCGCCTGTTTGGACTTTTCACACGGGCTTCTGCGCTGAGTGCTTTTTCCCTTTCTGTGCGCATCATAGCACTACAGCGAGGGGATGTCGGCCCTATGGGTTTGGTACAGGAATCTCGGGGATACCGACCGATTTTGGGCTGTCAACTGGTTAACTTATACTCCGGATTAAGTGGTTCAGTCTTTAGAGTAGTCACGTGGGTTGCTGCTTGCATTGCGTTTGAGCAACTAATGCAGCTCCTCACCCCTGTCCTCCTGCCGCTATCTGGAGTTTTGATCTTAGCTGCACCAGCAGATGGTCATATCCGATGCCGCTTTCTGGTCGTCTCGGCTTTGCTGTGTGGACTTTGCAGCACCCCCGTGGCTGCGACAGTCGTCCCACAGTATTTCAACATCGCTGTTGATCCGGCGCTACCATCTCATGACCCGTGTGGGGCCTGGCCTCATTGTGCTGTACTGTGCCGTACGCCAGGAGCGGGCCCTCAGGCACAGCCCCCTCCCCCCTTCTGTGACGGTATGCCCAGCCGGGTACGTCCAGTTCCCACTCCTGTCCGAGCTATTCCTTGTCCTAGTGTGGCTGCGACAGCTTGCACTTCTACTTCTGATCTGCCCTGGGACCGGGATGAGATTGGCCCTACCTTGTTGGAGGTTTGTTTGGGCGAACCGGGGTGTCAAGCTTTCTTTCTGGCGGCTACCCTACTTGACACCTTGGTGGAACACTTTTTTGGCACAAGCTCCGGGGTCACGGATGTGGATGTTAGCCAACCGGTCACTCTTCCCTTGGAGGAATTGGTTCCGCTGACTCCCTTTCAATGTTTGGCTCAGTCTCTGCAGGCTGTCATCCCGTCTCCTGTCCCCAGTGACCCCTATCTCCGCGGGGATATTGTTGACTGGTTGGATTTGGATCTCCGTGATGTCCTGGCAGCTCCCACAACGGATGCACGTTGGAAAAACCACTTCCGGTCTTTCCCCTTGTGGACCGAGCGTGCACTTGGCGAGACCCCGATTGCTCTTGTCATTTACACCGATGGCTCGGCCGGCGATTCTCCTACCGGATCCGGTGCGGCGTGGGCTTTTGCCGTGTGGGTTCAGGTCCAGACCCGTCTGCTCCTTCTGGGACACAGTGCCCACACCGCGGTGCCACTAGGCACCCCCTACTCTGTTGGAGAACTTGATGACTCACCCTACACCTCAGAGTTGTTGGCCCTGGCTTGGGCTCATGTCTGGGCCATCGAGTACGGTGCGAGCTTCGCGGTTCCGATCTTCTTTTACTACGATTGCACCAGTGCTGGGGGTTGCGTTTTTGGCCATATGGCCACTGCTTCTGCCGCTTCCGCGGAGGATGGTCCTTCACTTGTCACTTTTGCGAGTCACCTTAGGGCCTGTCTGCAAATGCGTATTTGTGCCTCCCATTTTCACGTAAAAGGGCACGACGGCAACATAGGTAACGAATTTTGCGACTGTTTGGCCAAATGCGCCAGAGCGCGGCATGAAGGTTTCTATGATCGCTGCCTTCCGGAGTGGCCACACCTTTGGTGGTGCAGCCCTTTGCACAGCTGGGGCTGGCTCGCCGGCTACTGTGGGCCGGACTTGCCCTGCCTCCTGGCGCTGGAATCTGAGGCTGCTCGCCTACAGCAGATTAGTGAGGCTTCCCCCCCTCCTTGCTACGGAGAGGTTGTTGTCGATTTGCCTCAGGCCGAGGTCCTGTTTACTTTGGATCTTGTTTCCTTTAACGTTCTCACTATGTTTGACCCGGCTGTGCCACATGGGCGCGCAAAACGTCTTGAAAACGTTGGGCTTATGGTTTCGGGCAAGCGGGACCTCATTAAGCGGCAGCTGCTTCATAGGCAGGTGTGGCTCGCTGGTTTTCAAGAAACACGGCTGCCACTTGACTCACAGCTTCCGGACTCTGATTTTATAATGTTAAACGCAGCGGCTGATGCCAAGGGGCACTATGGATGCGCGCTCTGGATTAGTCGCAAATGTGTTTTTGCCCGGGATGATAGCCGTAAATATGTGGTTCAAGATTCGCAGGTTACGGTTACACACTTCTCTCCCCGGCATCTTCAGGCGACCATTGAAACCCCTCGTCTTCGGCTGTGTGTCCTTGTTGCGCACGGACCTCGCAGTCAGGGAGGTAAGGAGGCCGAGGTCCGTGCTTTTTGGCACCAACGTGCGGTTGAGCTTGCCACACGCCCACCAGGCACGGCATGTGTGCTTTTGCTTGACGCTAACAGCCATGTCGGGTCCATTGCTACCGACTACATCGGTCCCGATGGTGCTGAGGATGAAAATTTTGAGGGCGCTTGCCTGCATACTTTTCTGAGTCAAGTTGACTGTGTCCTGCCTTCCACTTTTGCTTGCCACCATGGGCAGCATTGGACATGGCAGTCATCTGGCCATGATTGTACACGCCACCGGTTGGATTTTATCGGGGTTCCTAGAGACTGGTTTCCCTTTGTGGTTTCCTCTTCAGTGTGGACTGATGTTGAGGTCATGCAAGCTCGCCAGGATCACTTGCCGGTTTGCCTGTCGATGGCCTTTTCCAAGCCCGTGGCGGCCTCCCGCATTTCCTCTTTACGGCGCCAGGCCTGCCGACCCCCTGCCCAGCCTACTGAGGCGCAGCGCCTTGCTTTCCGAGAGGCGTTTGCGGTGCAAGCCCTGGCGCCTTGGCATGCGGATGTTGATTCTCAATACCAACAGTGGGTGCAGGGCCTGAAGCAAGCCACTGCGCCCATTCTCTGTCCCACTGATCGGAAGTCCAGACGGCCGTTCATCACCGAGCCTACTGTTGACTTGGTGCATAGGCGCAGAGCCCTTCGGG